CATTTTCAAAAGGCTGTCAACGCATCTGCAACCCTCGGGTGTAGGATCGATCATCGAGGTGATGGGCGGCGGTATTCACTTAACATCAGGATAACCGTCCGCTCCGTCGGCAACTTTTCAAATAAAAAAAAAACAAGCTGATTGCCTAACCTTGGGGGTTTCGGAACGCAATGCAATTCACTGTCCATTGCCGAACCTTAGAGGTTTGGGGTGCAACAACTCAAGACGTGAGTTGCACGAATGGGAAACAGGCTCATTGCGAGCCGAAGTAAAAGGCAGCGGTTTAGGGCCACGCAGCAGCCTCGGCCGTTGCACGAATGGGCACGGCCTCACAGAAGACCGGCGTAAAGTCGAAGTATAATAGTTTCGCGTTTCGTCTGGTGAGCGAGGTGGCGGGAGCCCAATTTCAAACGCATCTGCAACCCTCGGGTGTAGCAGACGTCAATGGGCGGCGGTATTCACTTAACATCAGTTGAACTGTCTGATCGCTCGGCAACTTTTCACATTTAAAAAAAAAGCGTCCATTGAATCCACGCCGATAACGCACTGGCGCTCCCAACGCTGCGTATGGGTGTGGTCGGTGAAAAAAACAAGTGTCATATAAAGGCAGGCGGACGGCGGGAAACGCGGTGCAGTTGGCACGCGGTTCGGATTCCACTCCATAAACGTCGCTAACGTCTCTATCTGGATCGATACAGACTTTTTTTTAATGCGAGAAGGTAGCTGGCGGTTCACCAGATATTGAGCTATAACGGCCGCCCGTGGACTTTTGCAACACACGTATTGATGCAGACGCGTTGCAAACTTTCAACCGGAGCCCATTTTATTGGGCTCCAGTTACCTCACTCACCAGACGAAAAGCAGAAGTGCAACATTTCCACTTAACGCCGGTCTTCATTGAGGTCTCGGTACTTACCCGGACCTGCCCAACCGTGCAACAGCGAAGACGGTTGCGTGACCCTACCACACCTACTATCTCACGTAATGTAACTTACTGTATATGTAATGCTAGTTATACAGTGTACATGTTGAAACTTTGGCAAGTTGAGAAAGTACATTATATATTGATTTAATGCCGATTAGAAATGTAATGGAAGAAAGTTCGAGAGAATCCACGCTGTGGAAGTGTGCGACGAAATTGAATTTCGCAAAGGAGCAAGCATAAATTCTTCAAAAAACAAATAGTTTACAGAAGTGAATCGAGTTGCGAGGTGGTTCTAAATATTGACTTTTAGATATAATTTAAATTTTCACACAGTATACAGCGTGTCGTTACCATCGCGACAATAAATGAACACACATATAGGGGATAACTTTTTAAAGTTGTATTAAACATTTAAATTCTTTAAACATCAATATTTACAGAGTTATTAAATTTTCCAAAACAAAGAATTTTAGAACACCCTTACCTATAAAAGCGTAACGTAAAGTTCATTTGTAAAGGTCACAAAGCATATGAATGGGTTGAATGAATTTAAAAGAGACAAAACATACTGTTAGAAGGAGAGGCTTGGAATACGACGCTGTGGCGCGAGTTGTATAGGATGTTATAAATTTTGTTTCTTTTTTACTTAATTAGTTTGTTTGCAAAATATTTGTTTTTAATTATGGATTTTGTTTAACGTTAATATTTTTTATGATTATTGGCATGTAGCGTTAGACGTGTGTTCATTTATTGTCGCGATGGTAACGACACGCTGTATAGTAAAGGCCACTTGAATGATGCTATCGATCGCTTTTACTGACGCCAGTTGCTAAACTAACATTAAATCTATCAAAAAAATTTAATTTACACCTCCCTTTAAAATAACAGGGAAGACAGTGGGCTGCAACACTGCTGTTTTATGGGCAGCCTTCCTCCTGCCTCCATTATAGCAAGCTCAAGTTCTGAGGGTGGCAGCAGTGACGAATTTGCCCTAAGGCCCAATGGGCGCGGGCCTAGGCCGGCCACATATTTGGGGCTGCCAATCGTGACAAAAAAATTCACTGTTTATAACAAGATATTAGTACAATACTTTAATATTCTATATTTATAAAGTTTTATCATTATGAAATTATGTTAAATTAATTTATCATACATTGTTAATTTTATGTTTATAAATGTAATTAAATTAATATTAAGTTTTATGTACATTGCACGCTTAATTGTAAAAAAAAGTAAAATGAAAATGTATTTGTTTTTTAATTTTAATTAATTTAATGCTAATTGTATTTAAGTCTTAACAATCTTTACTATTGCTATGTAGTTTTTACCACCTAAGCTACATTGGGGAATGCAAATGAAGAGTAAAGATATATGATGGGCTCTGAGAAAGGGACGGCTGGAACTTACTACGTGGCCTAGAGCAGCCAAGAGTTCAAGTCCGCCACTGCTTGACAGGTTACCTCAATCGTCGGACAAAACGCAGAAGTATGATACTTCAATTTTACAACGGTCTTCTCGGCGGTCGTGATACTACCCCGTATAGCCCGCGTCCACTCAGCGGCATATCGTGTGATTCAACGACGGCAAAACATCAACGGCATTACCAACTTCGTTATAGAAAACTAGTCTGTCAACATTTTCACGAGTGTTTGCGACGAATGGACGTCGAATAACACGGTTCCGTTATTGTTTTCAACTTCGAAATACATGAAACTCGTAAGCAATTTATATTATAAGCATTATACTTATATAATACAGCTTTATAATTTGTTTTTAAGGTCCAAACTATGACATTATATACAAATACGAGGTAGATATGCCACCAGCGCGCTGAAATTGAGGCAATCAAATTACACCGACTGGTGTAAATTAGATAGCAATTCTACAAACTGCTATCTATATCCGTATGACGACCCGAATGGCGTAGTGGGTAGTGTACCTGCCTCCTGCGCCAGAGGGTGTGGGTTCGATCCCCACTACTGGAAAAATATTGTGTGATGAACATGGTGTTTTTCTAGTGTCTGGGTGTTTATATAAGTATAATATGTATTCATTTACAAAAGAAAAGTATGTTTAAGTATGTTTATCAGTTTTCTAGTACCCATAATACAAGCTTTGCTTAGTTTGGGACTAGAAAATGTTGTGTACAAGTGTGTCCTAAATATTTATTTATTATTTATTTATCCATACGTTCTATATCTTACTTACATTGTCATATAATGTAAAACGGAACATTTAATATACGGCGCACAGTATGGGCATGCTTCATCTATATTAAATATCATTTGGTCCCAACATTTTCAGTGCGTCCCGTAACGAACGAACGCTGAAGATAATTTTCGAAACGTCGAGATATCGCAAATCAAAAAACGCAAGAAAATTAGTTAATATATAGTTTTAATTAGCCGTGTGTAACATTTGCGAATATACAAGAAACGATTAATTTATAAGCAATTAATTTCTGTTGGAACTTGGAAGTTCCGTGTAAAACAAAAAAATGCTGATTACAATCTGCCTAATTTAACGATGGAATAATGGTTAACACAGTGTGAATTATTCACGTAATAGACGTTAGATTTACTTTTTTATCCCATTCGGTTGTTAACCTCGACTCGAAGAAAAACAAAACCGAAAACAAGCGGGATACTGCCAAACTTATTCCGTAAAGAAATGTGATATTTGCGTATACATCAAAGAATCCGTTATGTATTTACATCTTTATTACATACAACAGTTTGAAATTAAATTAGTAAAATCTTTCACAACTTTCGCGTGCCCTTTAAAACATTCATAACTAGCTGTGTCCGCGACATCGTCCGCGTGGAATTTAAAATAAATAAAATTTCTAAAATTAAATTACTTGTTATTACATCAGCTATTCACCAGTGAGAGTCCCATCAAAATCGGTTCAGCCGTTTCAGAGATTAGCCGGAACAGAGACCGAGAATATTTTTTAAAAAAATGTTATTTTGTTATATTATTATGTGCCATGTATACATCCATATACATTTAGTAAAAAGCGGTCATTTTAACATTGCAAACAGACACTTCAATTTTATTTATCTGTATGTATAGATTTACTTACTTTTTAATATGTTTCATAATGTTTTGTGAAATTGTTTTCGTAGTAGAGTTGTGGTAATTAATGGAAAATGTTCGCCTAATAAGTGGAATTTATTACCGGGCTAGCGAGGATATTGGATTGTTAATGAGCCAATCCGATCGATTTGGTACGAATTACGCTTTCGATACGGAATGTAATCGATTCGCAATAGACCTTTTTTCACAATGCCTCAGCGAAACCGCGCCCCGATTTATTGTTTGAATAATTGAACGTTTGAGAACGGGAGGTTATTGCTGTTTTTTTTTTTGTCTTTGTCTATTATGTTTTCATGTTACAGCAGCGGCGCAGTGGGTCGAACGGAACGGCGTGTTAGTTTTCGAGACGCGGATACAAATACGTTTTTTGTTTTACCATTTATAAAATCTGGTATTCTGAATATCAAGAAGTGAGTGTAATGCTCCTATGTTGAGTAAAGATATTTGAATTTGGATTTCAATTATAAGCTCGCTAGGAACGCGATTATAGTACGCGGCGATAGAATTTTGCTTGTCGGCCTTCGGAGAGTCATTCGGCTTTTTTCGGTTTTGTATAGCGTTACCCCTGTCTCACATTACCTTTTGTATGTGACGTTTGTCAGTCGTAGTACAAGTGTGCGACAGAGATGACGCTCTACGAAGACGAAACCAGCCGATTGTCTGCTGGGCAATAGTCTGTACACAGGGTATTAGAACAACGTCCTCCGAGCGACTCTACGGCAGATTGGTGGACTTCACATATCTTAGAAATATACTACGTCATTATTTCGAAAATATGCAGGTTTCCTCATGCTTTCCTTCACCGCCGACCATATAAAAATTCAGCGCATAAAATTAACAATTCCATTGCTGCCGGAACCGGGGATTGAACTCAGGTTGCTCGAGTATATCGCATTAAAGGCGAGCGCCCCGACAATGAGCTATCACGGCTTCAGAAACAAGAACAAAGCAGATAACAGAAGGGGTCCAAACCAACCTGGGTCTCCGTCAAGCTCAGCGCCTGCGCGAGTTGCTTCCTCTCCGCCCCCACCACGTAGTGGTTCTTCTCGAAGGCGTGCTCCAGCTTGAGGAGTTGGGAGGGAGAGAAGGCGGTCCTGATCCTCTTGGGCTTGCGGAACGGCTGCAGCAGGAAGCCGGGGATGTCGGGGCCTGGGGACGGAAGCGAAATCAGCTACGGGTTGGCAATCGTTCCTCGATATCGTTTTTATTTGATGACTCGGTACCCACGCATCTATCTATCTTTATACCAGAGTTCAAAGAGATTGGTTCTGCGGTTTAGCCCTGAAGGCAACATACAGACAGGCAGGTAACAGGGACAGAGAGATTTGAGACCCATTGTATGTTTGGTATGTATATATATACACACACATGTTATGCCTATGTGTTATTCTGATCTATAAGCTATATAATTGTAAAGTTTAATTCAAATAAATTCAGTATTTTTGGCGTGAAAGAGTAACTAACATGTATACGTCCATACATACAAACTTTCGCGTTTACTTTTATTTCTAATATTAGTAAGGATGTCTTCGAGTCAAAGGGTGAGTATTAAAATAACGGCTGATAGAGGCAAGTGGAAGGAAAAGACATGCTGTGCCAGCTAGTGTGGAATAAGGGCAGAAGAAAGAAGAAGAAGAAGTCTCCAATTTTAACGAATTTTTGGAAACATTATTTTACTAAAACTACTTATAGAATCAATTGTCAATCGTCTTTACTTTTTTAACCTCTCTTTTAACGGTGACTGATGTGATTACTCTATGAATAACTTTGCCAATCTGCAATACCAGTTGGGTACAAATTGCGTCGCCAACCAAGAGCATTAACCTCCGGTTACCACACTAACCAGATAAACGCAGAAGTATATATAATCAGTGCAGGTAGAAGCATCAAACGACGCTAAGTTCTTATATTCGTATTCAATATTAATTAAATGGAATTCATTTTTTTTATATTGCATTGTAATTAAGATATTAAACAATGTTGATTGAATAACTAATGAATTGTGCACTATGCAGTGAAGTTAATTACATCTGTTACAAGTTAACTACATCGATAAAAGAAGTTGAGAGTTTACGGTGGTAGGGCCACGCAGCATCCTCGGCTGTTGCACGAATGGGCAGGCCCGTCCGGGTAAGTGCCACGACCTCACAGAGGCAGGCGTAAAGTGGAAGTATGACAAATACTTTCCCGTTTCGTCTGGTGAGTGGCCGGAGCCCAATTTTCAAAAGGTTTCAGCGCATCTATAACCCTCGGGTGTAGCAGATATCCATGGGCGGCGGTATTCACTTAACATCAGGTGACCCGTCTGCACGTTTGGCAACTTTTCGCATTAAAAAAAAATACAAAATTGTAAATATAATTCTGGACGAAATCCTTTTTTTGTATACACAAGTTTTGAAGTCGTGAATTCGGAATAATTGTAATAATAATTGCACTAACTACCTCTTGAGAACATCTGCAGTTTAAAACTGTGGTGACAATACCATATGAAACATCTATTAAATTAGACTTTATTACAGTGTTAATAAATCAAAAATATAGTAACTTGTACCTAAACTAGTTGTATATAAAGTGATTGGTGGTTGAAACGAAATATATATTTCGTTTGTGACGTAAACGAATTTTCTCGATTTTACGCCGACTTGGACTTACTCGATTAGATTAATTAAGTATTTAAGTTTTGTTAAATATTTAACCGTGTAACGGTTTCCATAATCGACGAGCAATCGTGCATAATTGTAATATAATGGGATAATCGCTGTTAAGTACGGTTGTTGCAAATAATCGAAACAGCAATTATTTTAATATCGATCACTGAGAATGTTTTCATCGGTTAAAAGTAATCATCGTAATTGATAGCTTATAGGATCTCATCAAGTTGAAGTGTTACACTTCTGCGTTTCGTCTGGTGAGTGAGGTGGCCGGGTTCCTTATTTTAAGAGTGGCAACGCATCTGCAACCCCACGGGTGTCGCAATAGACCGTACGCGGCGATCACTTAACTTCAGGTGAGCAGACTCGCTTGCAAGCTTCTCACATAAAAAAAAAGATTTATCCCGCTTATTTCATAATAAGAACAAGATAGCTTGCCTTTTTGATCGCTTCGCAGCCACGGATGAGGACTGGTCATTCACGTCACTAAGCCACAGTTAACCTTGAATAACATCAGCTTCTCTCTTGGGAAACATCGAGAGTTAAAGCATCGAATTAAACGCTGTTAAAACCCGTAGATCATCATTAAACTACCGACTCCCTTTTGGTTTGTATCGCTCGCCATTAAAATTGAATCAAACACAGATCATTTCAGATTCACGGAACGTTCGTCATCGTTATTTCGCGATAACGCGGAAAATTGTTGTTAATGAAAGGGAAGAAATAATAAATTCTTTAGGCTTAAACAACACTTATACTTGCCCAATCACATTTAACCCCTGTACAGAGGAGGCCTTTGCCCAGCAGTGGGACATGTAAAGGCTGATACTTTACTTTTACTAACATTTAAAAGAAGTGGGACCCAGTTACCTCACTCGTCAGGCGAAACGTTAGGCTATGGGCAGTATATTAATCAATGATATTATATAAAAATAAGAAGTAGACATGACACTAGCGCATCGAAACTGAGGCGCTCAAATTACGCCAATTGGTGTAATTAGATTGCAATTCTGTAGACTGCTATAGCTTTTTATATCATACGTTCTATATCACCTATCACATTCACTTATATATGTCATATATATATCATATCATCAAAAGCCGCGCTGTATGGCCATGCGTCATATTTATTAAACGATCATCAATATTATCACAATAAATTAAGAAAGCAAAATCTGGAACAGAAAAGAAATGAAAATCCGCCATTTTCAATTTTCCGCGCGCACTAAAAGCGTCGAGGAGCGGACGTTATAAAGCGCCCGACGCGTGCGGTCCTTTCCCGGCGATTAATTAAAAAAAAAGCAACCGCGAAAATGGCGAGTTAAATGTGAACATTTAAAAATAATCAATGCTAACGACGGTATAATGATCCGTCGACAAATGCGGATTTCGCGTGCCCCGTGCGAAGTTACGCTAATCTTAGCTTATATTTATTTACCCATCTCATGTGCGCTCGTGATAATTAAAGTTCTTCCAAAGCAAGCTCGTCAGGGAAGTATACGGGCCGCAAAAGACCAGCGTACAAAGAAGAATCTATATTTGTTATTTCCTCTGGTGAGAGAGGTAACTGAGCGTAAACAGTAATTAACAAATTGATATTAGATAATATTTTATATGAACCAGTGAATAATAAAGTATAAGTGATGAGTCGTAATGAAAGTTACTCATAATTGTACTTTAAGAGTCTGGGATTATATAGATTACTAAAACAGGCACTCTGTGTAATCTAAGTGTAATTGTTATTCTAAGGTGTAAATTACACCTTAGAATAACTTAGCCTTTTTATATTTCTTATACGTCTATTATATCGTTTTTACATTAAATGATAACACACTCTGGAAATTAGCTGATCTCTTCAGGCTCTTTCAAATAGAATTGAATATATTGTATAACATAATTGTTTTTTCTTCAAATTATGTTAAAAAACCCCCGCTGAGTTCCTCTCGCCGGTTCTTCTCTGGCTAGTGGCTTTTATTCTAAACCGGTAGTAGTGTTTTTAAAACTCAATAAGTGTAATGTAATATATAAGTATATATATATATATATATGCATATATTGTACATGCAATATAGAAATATTGAATAAATATATTTAAATTTCGAATTTCGAATTTGAATACACCGTACATAACGTAACCTATAGAAATAGCAATGCCCCCGTCAAATACGAATATATATCTCGCCAAAATACACGGTAATTTACGTTCGAACGTATAGACAGAATTCGTCACGGAGGAATATGGCGTAAAAATACTTGAAGCCAATTCCCATTCCCGACGTGGAGCGCGTAAAATACTGCGCAGGTATGGGATTTATCGACGGCACCGAAAGTGCAAAGTCGCGCGACTTTATTAGTGTTTCGGACGCGCATTCAAATGCTGCACCCAACGTGCAGGCATCATAAGTTGGACAATGGAAGCGTATTGTACAATAAAAAGTACTGCAAGCGAAACCGAAAACACCCTGTTGAATCTTAACGAATACGGTATGATCGTTCGGAAACGCGCGACGAATAAATATAAAAAAATTAAACATTTTTTATTTTATTTTGTAACAAAATCCACAGCACTTTGTTAAATATATATAAATCTTACTTAATAAATCTTAAAGCCAATTTGGATTTGCAGTATTCAGTTAAATTATTTAAATTACAACAGTAGAAAGACACGAAAACTTTTAATACTTAGACATTATTATTGATTGTTTGTGTGCGCGCGTGCGTATTATTAGTGCATAACGTCGGCAATTTGAACCAACATTGATATCGATGAAATATTTTATGTGAGGATTTTTTAATCTGGTAGCTTTGACTGTTTCATCGGAAGAGGTCCGCGGTTAATCGACTTGCGGACTTACAACAAGAAACAACGTAACTTGTGCTCGATGACGCGGCTCCATTGCACCACCGCGACGTCTATTAACAAAAGATGGAGCTCAACTAACAAGGGCACCTCATATTGGACCGAAGTAACAATGAAGTAAATACAAAAGTTTTACTAAGACGTTCTTATTTCGTCGTTTATGGGAGACGGTGCCAAACGAGCTGGACTGTTCACCTGATAAGAGTAATCTGAAGAGAAACACGGATGCAGTATTGCGGCAAAAACTAAAGAGTCAGGCACACCGATCTCCGTTTACCACGCTCGCCATACGAAATGCAAAAGTGTGACTTATTATACGAGTAAGTAAGCAGGCTGTTCACATGACGTTGAGTGATAGCCCTCCCATGGACACCTGCTACCGAAGGGTTGCAAATGCGTTCCTTGTAAAGTGGGCACCGGTCACCTCACTCACCAGACGAAACGCTTTCTGTTTACGGCGATCTTCAGTGAAGCCACGGTACTCCCCTGAACGTGCCAGTTCGTGCAAGAACATAGACCGCTGCATGGCCCTAACACAGTAAAACTTTAAGCCACTCTTTACTTCTACTTTACGCCGTGCTTTTAAGTTTTATTCCATCCAGAACAGAAAACGCTGTTTTCGCAAGGTTCGAACAATA